GTATTCTAAATACACAAGGCGAAAGTCGGTGGAGGGCATAATTGATTTGCTGACTGCAATGGGAAGCCAGCCCATGCCCGGGCAGGGCCAGGGCACCCTACCACATCCACGTTTTAACACCGCACAGTCTTGTCAGCAGCTGACCCTGGTAGGACTCCGGCCTTCCATGTTATCAATTCCCACCTGCTGGCTTGTCTTCTGCCTTACTTAACACCTGCAGCCTCCAAACAAGCTGTGTATGATCTGCCTCCCTTCTGGGTTTGGCACAGCTGTTCCTGCGACCTTAGAACTGGTTCCTTTGTCTCCTGGGCAACACCCAGGCAGCCCACAGTTCTCAACCTGGGCTTCAGTGTGCATGATTGGGTCTGAGTTGACTGAACTGCTCTGTCTACTCCTTTTGTGTGACTTGCTACGGCCCTGCAATAGCTTACTTGTTTCCCCCATATACCGGTAGTTTCTGGAATGCAGAAACCATATCTGTAAGAAACATCTTGACCTTAATTTATAGCGAACATTACACAAAATCGAACTTTATTCTTTACCATCAGGATCACATTCCTTGCAAAACACCTCCTTTTTAAATTTTTTTCTTCCTGTAGCCCCAGCTAGTTGAGAACTTTGTGTAGACCAGGCTGCCCTTCATCTCACAGAGGTCCACATGCCTCTGCCTCCTGAGTGCTGGCATCAAAGGCACGGGTCACCACATGTGGCTTGCCAAACTCCTCTTAAGAGGTCTTAACACCAAGTGACCTTGCCCTCCTTCCACTCAGGATTATTATCTGTCTGCACAGGACTCTTCCTTATTTCTGAGCCTCCGTGTAGTAATCTGCAATCCTATTGTCATTCATCATTCATCTCTACCTTTTCAAATCCTGTCTGCCAATCAAGATGCTTCTCAATTGCCAGGCAGTCTCCTCTGATATGCCCTCCCAAGCATATGTGATGACTTCTTGCTACTACCTCCGGAACACCCCTCTTAGTTGCTTTCTCATTGCTATAATAAAATACCTTGACAAAAGCAACTTATGGGAGAAAGCATTTTATTTTGGCTCATGGTTTCAGAGGGAAGCACGGCAGTAGACGGGATGACATGGTGGCAGGAAGCACAACAGGAGCAGGAGGCTGACTGATCACCTTGCATTCAGGCTTAGAAACAGAAAGTGAGCAGGAGATGGGGCTAGACTATAAAGCCTCAAGGTCCACCCCTAGTAACCCACTTACTCCAGCAAGGCTCCACCTCTTAAAGTTTCTTCAATTTTCCCTAACAGCATCAGCTGAGGACCAAATGTTCAAATATGTGAGCCGATGGGAGATAATTCATATTCAAACCACAAGATTTCACCTTTTGCCCCCATTGGCTCATGCCATCTCTTGGTGCAAATATACTCTAACTTCAAAGATTGCTAAAGTCTTTAATTATCCCAGCACCATTTAAAAGTCCAAAGTCTCTCTTAACTGTGACCCCTGTGAAATTAAAAAAGAAATTACATACTTCCAACATAAAATACCAAAAAATACATAGTCCCATTCCAAAAGGGAGGAATGGAGGTTTAGCAAGGAAAGATTGAACTAAAGGAAGACCCAAACTCAGCAGCTCAAACATCAAACTCTACAGCTCCATGCCCAGCATTTGGAACCATCTCAGGGGCATACAGAGAGAGTCCTACCAAAGTGAAAGGTCTGTTGCTGCACATGGCTTGTCTTACCACCAAGAAAAAAACAAAGCACTTAGTGGGTCTATTTGGGTTTTGGAGGCAGCACATTCTCCACTTGGGTGTGTATCTCTGGCCCATCGACTAAATGCCTTGGAAAGGTGCTAGTTTTGAATCAGGCCAGGAACAGAAGTAGACGGCTGCATCCTCACAGCCTCTTTCTGGAACAGCTCTGAAGTACACTGGTAAATGGAAGTCTTCACAGAGAGCAGAACTTGGGCAGAACACATGGTTGAACATTTTGCTAGGAAGGACAGATGGCCAGATGTGCAATTATATACTGATTCATGGGCTGTAGCCAATGATTTGGCTTGATGGTCAGGGACTTGGAAGAGCACGACTAGAAAATTGGTGAGAAAGACATTTGTGGAAGAGGTATGTGGATAGATACCCCCAAGTGGGCAGAGGAGGTGAAGATACTTGTGTCCATATAAATGTTCGTCAGACAGTGACTTTAGCAGAGGACTTCAATAATCAAGTAGGTAGGATGGTGTTTTCTGTGGTTAGTAGTTAACTGCATCCCCCAGCCATTCCTGTCACGATACAATGGGCCCTTGAACAAAGTGGCCATGGTGATGGAGATGGAGGTTATGCATGGGCTCAACATCATAGGCTTCTGCTCACCAAGGCTGACTTGGCTACAGTGGCTCCTGAATGCCAGATCTGCCAGCAGCCCCCATATCACTATTTCCAGGTGTGACCAGCCAAGGACCTGTAGTAGCTTGACTACATTGTACCATGGGATTATCATGGAAAAGGCAGCGCTTTGTTCTTACTAGAATAGACATTTATTCTGAATATGGGTTTACTATTCTTTCACAGAATGCTTTTGCCAAAACTACCATTCAGGGACTGATAAAATGCCTTAATCATTGTTATGGTATTCCACACAGTACCACTTCTGACTGAGAAGCTCACTTCACATCCAAAGATGTGTGGCAGTGGGTCCATGCTCTTACCATGTTCCCCACCACCCTGAAGCAGCTGGCTTTTTTATTTTTTATTTTTAATATTTTATTATTTTTAAATTTTTATGCAGATGAGTGTATGGCCTGCATGCAGGTAGTTGCTCCTGTGTCGTGCAATGCCTGAGGAGATCAGAAGGGTGTTGAATCCCCTGGAACTGGAGTTAGGGATGATTGTTAGCCACCATGAGGGTGCTGGGAATTGAACCTGGGTCCTCTGTAAGAGCAGGCAGTGCTTTTAACCTGTAACCTATCTCTACAGCTCTAGAATGGACTTTTAAATACATAATTATAGCACCAATTAGGTGGAGGTCTGGAGTGCTGGGCAGGGTTACCCAGAAGACTATATAGGCTCGGTCTGAATCATCATCCAATATGACTCTGTTTCTTTTACGGCCAGAATGTACAGGTCAGGAATCAAGGGGTGGAAGTGGGAGTGGTACCTCTCACCACCATCCTTCATGACCCATTAAAACCCTTTTGTTTCCTACTCCCAGTCTTATGCTTTGCTGGCCGGAAGGTTTGGTTCCAGAAAGGGGAGTACTTTTGCTAGGAGGCACAATAGGCATTCCATTAAACTACAAGCCAAGATTTCCCCTTGGCCACTTTGAGCTCCCGATGACCTCGAATCAATAGGGTAAGAAAGGAGTTACAGTGTTAGCACAGATGATCAATCCAGACTACCAAGGAGAAATTGGACTGCTTCTTCACAATGGAGGTAAGAAAGAGAAGTATTTCTGGAGTGTAGGACATGCTTTAGGTATCTCTTGGTTTTCCCATGTTGTGCTGGTTTGAATGAAAAATGCTGCTTCAATATGTGAAAAATGTCACATATCTGAACTTTTTTTTCCAGTTGGTGGTGCTGTCTGGGGAGGTTATGGAGCTTTTAAGAGATGGAGACTTGCTGGAGGAAGTACATCACCTGGGGAGGGCTTTGAGAGTCTAAAGCATTGTCCCACTTCCTGTTTGCTTTATGCTTCCTGTATGTGGAAAAAGATGCAGAAATTAATCTGTAAGGTAATCTTTCCGCTCCCTACTCCAGCCGCCCCTCACCATTCTGGACTTCCCTTCTGGAACTGTAAGTCAAAATCAATTCTTCCTCCTATAAGTTACCTTGATCGTGGTATTTTATCATGGCAACAAAAGTAACTAATACACATCCTGTGATTGAGGTCAATGGTGAGCTACAGCAACCCAATCAGGCAAGCTGATGAATGGCCTAAACCTTCAAAGTAAAGAATCAAGACCTGCTGAAGTAACTGATGAGAACAGAGAAAATATGGGATAGGTGGGGAAGGTGGTAATAGATACCAGCCAAGACATGACCAGCTATAGAGACAAGGACTTCAATTGTGGTGAGTCTTTAGTTTTACTTTGTTAATAATGTGTTTTGCATATATACATGTACATTAAGCAGGTATTTGTGTTTTCTTTCCTCTGTTTCTTTTTTATCATGTAAAATATCACCAATCAAGATAATATCAGTAAAGTGTTGTAGATTAATATTATAATATTTAAGTTATGGAACACTAAAGACCAAGTATTCCTCAAGGTCTTTGCCGCCCATCTCTCTCTCTCTGTGTCTCTCTCTGTCTCTCTGTCTCTCTCTCTGTATGTGTGTGTCTGTATTTTTGTGGGTAATTGTGCATCTCAGTTGTATGTGGCAGTCATATCATGTTAGGCTGAATTATCACCTTGCTACTGTTTTAATTTAGAAATTAAGTATGACATAAGGAGACATGATTGAATACCAAGGGACAAGGGATGGACTTGTGATAGGTAATCATGGTTGTCGACTTGATGTGGAATCAACTAAAAGGCTAGCTGCTAGGCACACCTAGAAGAGATCTTCATGATCAGGTCATTTGAAGAGGGAAGACCCACCTAAATGTGGGCATCGCCTTCTGGTGACAGCCCACATAAAAGGAAGTCAATAAGAAAAAGGTTTTATTTTTTCTCTTTGCTGGCTACCTTCGCATCTTGCTGGAGAGCTTATCTACCTGCCTATCAGTTCACCTACTCTGTTGTTGCCCCCTCTGTCCTGTTGCTGCATTGCTTTGCTGACATAAGAACCCATCTTTTTCAGGCTTCTAATGTGGACTGAAGATCAGTGACTCTCCAGGAATCTCTAGGCCTTCGGTGCCAGACTGAGATGACTAGGACATCCAACTCCCGGAATGACCAACTTCTCTTAGTCTCTGCAGTGTGAAGACAGACATTGCTGGGAAAGCAAATCTAATAAATCCTCCTTTTAATGTTTATTCATTCTGTTGCTTCTACTGCACTCCACACACACACACACACACATACACATACCACACACACACCACACACACACACACCACACACACACACCACACACATACACACACATACACGTACACATACATACACACATACACATACACACCACACACACACACATACACATACACACACTCCACACACACATACACTCCACATACACACACATACAAATACATACACACATATACATATACACACACACACTCCACACACACATACACTCCACACACACACACACAACCACACACACACACTCCACACACACACCACACACACATATACACACTCCACACATACACACAACCACACACACATACACATATACATACATACACACACATACACATACATACACACACACACCACACACACACTCCACACACACCCCACACACACATGCATACACACACACACCACACACACACACACACACACACACACCACACACACACTCCACACACACACCACACACACATATACACACTCCACACATACACACAACCACACACACATACACATATACATACATACACACACATACACATACATACACACACACACCACACACACACTCCACACACACACCACACACACATATACACACTCCACACATACACACAACCACACACACATACACATATACATACATACACACACATACACATACATACACACACACACCACACACACACTCCACACACACACCACACACACATATACACACTCCACACATACACACAACCACACACACATACACATATACATACATACACACACATACACATACATACACACACACACCACACACACACTCCACACACACACCACACACACATATACACACTCCACACATACACACAACCACACACACATACACATATACATACATACACACACATACACATACATACACACACACACCACACACACACTCCACACACACACCACACACACATATACACACTCCACACATACACACAACCACACACACATACACATATACATACATACACACACATACACATACATACACACACACACCACACACACACTCCACACACACACCACACACACATATACACACTCCACACATACACACAACCACACACACATACACATATACATACATACACACACATACACATACATACACACACACACCACACACACACTCCACACACACACCACACACACATATACACACTCCACACATACACACAACCACACACACATACACATATACATACATACACACACATACACATACATACACACACACACCACACACACACTCCACACACACACCACACACACATATACACACTCCACACATACACACAACCACACACACATACACATATACATACATACACACACATACACATACATACACACACACACCACACACACACTCCACACACACACCACACACACATATACACACTCCACACATACACACAACCACACACACATACACATATACATACATACACACACATACACATACATACACACACACACCACACACACACTCCACACACACACCACACACACATATACACACTCCACACATACACACAACCACACACACATACACATATACATACATACACACACATACACATACATACACACACACACCACACACACACTCCACACACACACCACACACACATATACACACTCCACACATACACACAACCACACACACATACACATATACATACATACACACACATACACATACATACACACACACACCACACACACACTCCACACACACACCACACACACATATACACACTCCACACATACACACAACCACACACACATACACATATACATACATACACACACACACACATACATACACACCCACACCACACACACACTCCACACACACCCCACACACACATGCATACACACACACACCACACACACACATACACACACACCACACACACATACACGCACACACCACACACATACACACACATACACACACACCACACACACCACACACCACACACACACACCACACACCCCACACACACACCACACACCACACACACACACCACACACATACTCCACACACACACCACACACCACACACACTCCACACACACGCATACACACACACCACACACACACACTCCACACACACACACACCACACACCACACACACACACCACACACCACACACAAACACTCCACACACACACACACCACACACCACACACACACCCCACACACACTACACACACATACACACACACCACACACACATACACATACACACACACACCACACACACTCTCGTTATATACTACTTCTATAATACTTGGGATGTATATCTTTCAGGGCCCTCAACTTTGCAGGATGCAGTGAAGTCTGGTGTTAGGAGCTCAGGGTTTGGCCGTAGGATTAAGTTCACGTTGTGATTCCACCTCTGGCTGATTATATATCACTTTGGTAATGTTTAATGACTTTCCCAGCTTCATCATTTTTAATTATTTTTTGAAAACTTACTTTTCATTTTAATTGTATTTATATTTGTGTGATTATGTGTATGTGCATATGAGTGCAGATGCCTACAGAGGTGAAGGAAGGTTTTAGAATCTCGGAACTGGAGTTTCAGGTGGCGCGAGCTGTTCATCTTAAGTACTGGGAACTGAATTCAAGTCGTCTGCCAGAGCAATAAGCATTCTTTATCACTGATCCCTCTCTCTACCCCTTTATCTTTTAATAAAATGGGGAAAATCACTCTCCAAGAGGTACCTTTGTGTGTTAAATAAAATATTGTGATAGTTAACCTTGATCACCAAGTTGATTCGATCAAGATGTATCTAAGACATTTATAAAGCATGCCTCTGTATGCCTTTGTGGGTTTTTCCATAGAAGATGACCAAATGTGGGGACAACCCACTGTAAATATGGGTGGCATCCTTTCAGAAGCTGGGTTCTCCACCAGAGTAAAAAGGGAAGTGATGCCCACTACCATAGGCATTATACCTGTTGGCTTCCTGGCTGTCATCATGTGTGCTGCTTTGTTCTGCCACACCCTCCCACCATAATAAATTGAAACCTCTGACACAGTGAGACAAAAATAAATCTATTTTCCCCTTAAAGTGTTTCTCTCAAGTATTTGTCATAACGACAGAAGTCCAACTAATGCAGATGCTAAAAAGAACATAGTATGAGCTCATTAAATACTTGGTATCAAGTGATTGAATGGTTTCTGGATACCAGCAGTGAGACTGATGTCATTTGGACTGGGTGTCATGATAGCTCTATATACCCTATAGCATGGTCCAAGTTCATGGCTCCTATCATGTACAATTGGGTGAATCACAGAAATTTATCCCATCCATTGGAGTCTAGTTCCTTGTCTATAAGTTGATGATGTGAAATGGAAACATCAAGTGTTTGAGTATCTTTTAAATAAAAAATCTCCAAAACAATTCAAGCCAACTTAAATTCAAGGCAACTTAAATATAAAAAGAAACATGACATGAAGCTAGACCAATTTCTACTTTACTTTGCAGTTGCTGAGGCTAAGATTAGTTTGTAGATGATTATTGTCTTAGAGGCACACATAAATTTAAATACACCCATCTAGGAATTCTGAATCCAGGAAAAGAAGAGACTGAAAGGTGTGTGTGTGTTTGTGTGTGTGTGTGTGTGTGTGTGTGTGTGTGTGTGTGTAGTGGCTGCTGTGGTTTTTCAGGTTATGAACTGTCAAAGCCCAGCCTGAGTAACATACTTCATCCAGCAAGGTTCCACCTCCTAAAGATTTCATGACCTCCCCAAATAGCACTACCAGCTGGGGACCATGTGTTCTAGGGATAGAACCACTGGAAATTTACCTGGAAGAAAGAAGGGGGACACTTTGGTTTGGGTACTATTTTCCAATAGTCACAACCAAGAGATAAGAAATTACTGCTTTGGTGATTATGAACAAGGTAACAAATGACTAAAAAGGAGTAAGAATGGGGGACATTTTACTGTCTATGAGGCTCATCTGGGTAGAAAGGCTGTTTGCCTAATTCTGAACCTCAGAAGAGCTTTTGGAAGGGAGTCAGAGATGTAGGCACAGCCTCTCTTTCTCCCTCCTTCCCTGACCTCTCCCTCTCTCCTTCCCTCCCTCTCTCCCTCCTTCCCTGACCCTCTCCCTCCTGTCTTCCCTCCCTCTCTCCCTCCTTCCCTGACCCTCTCCCTCTTCCTTCTTCCTCTTTCCCATTCTCCCTTTCTTGCTTTGTTCTCCAA